TAGTAACTATGTTTCATACTTCATTTTGGAGGAAAAGCCCAAAATCATACATCATCTACAGCTTTAGACTTAAAATAATACATTTTAACATGGTGCACTAATAGTCATTTTTCTTTAACAAAGTTGTGCACTTTTAATCACAACCCTAAACACCGTTAGTTTTTTAACGGGACTCAACTCACGTGCATGTTACATGATTTATTTTCCCTCCAAACGAATAGGTACTTTGTCTCTCCGTCTTCCTTTCTTGCGAAGAGAGTTATAATACCAAGCCCTGTTGGAGCCAAAACTCCGATCGCAAATCATACCTATCCTTAATCGCATTTGTAGCAGAATCAATTATTAGGAAGTAACAATGCTCTTAATGCGCAACAGTGGAAGAGAATCACCTCATTTTTATGGTGAGAGTTTCCTCTCAATTTTCATATTGAAGAATTTTATTGTTACAGTATGAGCATTGCGTTTCTCATCTTGATTTTGTTAAACCTTTTTGTATTTCTCTACCCTTGCTAAAAGAACTGTTGTTAATTCTGTTTTTTCGTTTTCGACAAACAACTATTTTGTATTATTCTTGTCTGCAACAACACCTTATGAAATTTACTATTTGTAATTTCAGATTCGATAACCGAGGCTTCGTTTGTCACTATGAAAATATATCATGGGGGAATTATGAAGCGTATACCAGAGAAGCACTATGTTGGAGGAAATATAGATTACATTGATTATGTAAATGCCGCAGAATTGAATATTGCTGACTTTAAGAAGATGGCAGAGATATGTGGTTATTTGAGTGATTCAATAACTTTTTGGCGTAAGTGTGAAAGGCCTGGTAGTAGAGAAGTTAATCTCTACAGATTTTGAAGCCTCTGCAGTTGGTAAAAGCATCCAAAAGGACAATGTGCTTGAGATATACTTTGAACACTTGGACTCTTATTTTCAAATTGACAAAGTGGATTCAGTAATTCAATCAAATATTAAAGAAAATAACAAGCATCAACTTATGTGTGAAAATTCATCTTGTGGTGATTTTAGTGATTCAGAAGCTGATTTATCAGATGATGTGTTGGTTGATACACATGAGAAGAGGAACCAAAGCATTTTGGAAGAGAGGGAGCTCCTTAGCGACGAAATAAAAAGAAAGATGGTTGATATAGAAGGGGATCCTGATTGTGTTGATTCTGAAGACGTGCAGAGTTTGGATAGTGATTCTAAAACTGAAAGTTTCAACTTTCCTAAGTTTAATCCAAAGACCGATGGAGATAACCCAGTATTAGGTTTAGAATATACCTTTGGGACAAAGCAAGAATTTAAGAATGTTGTAGCAACTCATGAGATTAAGAATGGAAAGTATATCCAGTGGAGTAGGAAACGATAGTGTAAGAATGGAGGCATGTTGCATACATCATCCAGAGTGCAAATGGATAATCATGGCTTCTAGAATGCAAAGAGACAAGGCTTTTCAGATTAAAACTTACAATCCCATACATACTTGTAAGGAGTGGCATCATGAAAATAGAACGATCACATCATCTATCATTGCAAGAAGATACCTCAAAGAAATTGGATCAAATCGGGACTGGAAAGTGGCTGAATTTAGGGATAGAGTAAGCGTTGAACTAAGAGCTCAAGTAACGTTATCTCAAGCTAAAAGAGCTAAGATGAAGGCTATTGCATTAATTGATGGTGACATTAAAGATCAATATAAAATGATGTGGGATTATTTCAATGAAATTGATAGGACAAATCCAGGCAGCACAGTTTACACGAAGTTCATTGATAACGAGATTCCCAATGAGCCACAGAGATTTCAGAGACTATATATTTGTTTTGCTGCATGCAAGCTTGGCTTTGGAGCGGGTTGTAGAAAAATAGTAGGGGTGGACGGGTGTTGGTTGAAGGGTCCAATGTATGGGACTCAATTGTTATCTGCAGTTGGCATGGATGGTAACAACAACATATTCCCTGTTGCCTATGCAATTGTAGAAAAGGAAAACAAAGATACATGGGCTTGGTTTTTGAATCATTTGGCGGCTGATTTGAATATACATGAGACTGGTTGGACCTTTATGTCAGACAAACAAAAAGGACTTATTAAGGCTTTTAATATACATGAAAGCTGGTGTTGGAATTCTGTTGTTTTTTGAAGCTGCTGCTGGAATTGTACTGCTGTTTTTGAAGTTGGTGCTGGAATCTGACTGTTATTTTTGCTGGAAAATGATTGTGGTTTTTGCTAATTTTTTAGACTGGTGATGAAACTTGACATTATGTCGCGACCCAAATCCCGGTCGTGATGGCGCCCAGCACACTACTAGGCAAGCCCGACCATTATTCAACACTTAACCCAATTTATCAAAAATAGCGGAAAAAAATATCAATTAAGCAAGATTAAAGTACTGAAGATTTTAACAAAATGCACAATATAATCTCACTAGGACCCGGTGTCACGAATCTGAGCCTCTAGAATACAGAATATCATCCTAATACACGGTATATCCAAAGTCCGATAATGCGGAAATAAAGAGATAGGATAGGAGGGAGAAGATCAATGGCTGCGAACGCCGTGCAGCTACCTCGATACTCCCAGAGGCTG